GGCTCCTAAAATGAGCTCAGATGAGATCTGCTCATCTGGATATTGTAAACTAACAGCTGAGTTCTGAGAGAAAAACTAAATCTAGCATCAAGCTCTAGCTTGACAGTAATGATACACATTCAGGCGTCAGGCACGCATGTGTGTGTGTGTGTGTGTGTGTGTGTGTGTGTGTGTGTGTGTCGAACAAGCGTATGTTCCCTGAGTAATTATTAAGTTGCGTCATCACATTGCCACGGCATGTAAAATATTTACTGCATGGCAAAAAAAAAGTCCTGCAAATCTTCATGACACACGCACACACTTACACACACACACACTCCTACTAAGACACTTACTCACAGAACTGAGCTTCTAACGTTGGTGAATTCTCCCCAGGTACGTGATTAATTTTCAATTTACAGTAAGGCATCTTGGTCTGTGTGAGGAAACACAGCAACCTAGAGTCCATTTAACATTGGAGCTTACATGTCTATATGTCAGTGTAAGCTTACTATGTTGAACAGGCTTTCACTGCCACCTTTACACACACACACACACACACACACACACACACATACACTTATATACACACACGTACATGCACCTGATCTGATTGCAGTGGGTCAGCAGACCATTGCGTGCAGAAGTGCATCAGCTGACCACAGACAAAGGGGGAGGTAGGAATCCTAAACTGAGAGTGTGTGACTCAGAGCGTTAGCCTTAAATTAGTTTTTATGACACTGCTGCAGTATATATAGCCATCATGTCATATTTTGCTTTAAGCAAGGACAGTCTTGTTTAGTGTGAGGTTCAGAATGACCCTAGCTCAACAGCAACATTGCTAAATTATCACAAGAGGCATTCAGCCGTTTCAAGCAAGAAGGATGCAAAATTAAAAATTTGACGATAGCATCACAACATTAGCTTCAGGCACGTAGCAGACGTCAAAGAATCTGAAAACAAGAGTCTACGGTCACAGCTCTGTGAGACTGTACATAGACACAGCGGTGCTTTTTGAGCTAATTGCTAACATGCTCACAAGCACAATGTTAACATGCTGTTTGTTGATGTTCACCAGCTCTGTTTGGTGTGAAAGCATGCTAATATTTAGAACAAAATACAAAACTGTACAAAATACAAAAGTACAAAAGCACAAAAATACAAAACTGAGGCTGATGGTATCCAGATAGCAAAATAAATTTCACCCATACTTGGGCCACATGCATGTTTTGTTCTGGCTGAGTAAAGGCCTGCTTCCATGACCCGAATCAGGACAAGAGCTGTAATCTGCCCAGGAAGCGTATGGGCCGGACTCGGGCCGAGGACCTATTTTATGTTGGGCCAGAAGTTTCATTTTGCCGTTTGGGTAGTAGCTGCAGGTATTTCAGCATAAACCAAAGTGCTTTAGTACAGTAACTTTGACCACCATTAACATCCATACTTGATTTTATAGCATCAACATCATCAGGATTCATCCTCTGGGGACCGTAAATGTCTGAACAAAATTTCAAGGCAGTTCATCCAGTAGTTGTAGTCGTAGACCAACTGACCTGCATCACTCTTGGCACAGCTAAAAAAGAAAAGAAAAGAAAACACCCAGATGATCAGACTCTAGACAGAAGTATGATTCCTCTTTGTCCATAATCTGTTTTAACTTTTGTAAAATTTCGCAAGCCCAAATATTTCAATAATCAGACCATGCGCTGAATAACAAAGCATGAGAAACTGACTTTTTCACATCCCTCTTTTTCACTATAACCCTCTTTTCTCTTGCCTTCTTCCACAGGGAGGTCAGAGGTTAAGGCCAACTACAGAGCGGCGAATCCAGGGCTGGAAGGGGTTCTGTATCTTGCTTAAATACACTTCGGCAGGATGGATGCTTGCCAACACAGGGGGCTTGAACCCGAGTCCTCTGGTTGAGAGATGGTCCCTTTAACCGCTGGGGCTCCCTGCTGTCCCTGATGTCCGTAATGCCACGTCTCTGGCCACAAATAAAAGCAGGAGTTGCGTTACAGCCGAAGTCATGATGCCAAAGCAAACCCGTTTGCCCAGTGATGACAGACAGGACCTGACCAAATCCTTGTGAAAGCCGGGGTAACATGGCTGAACCGTATGGTGTAAGACTGCCACAACTTGCGTGGGAAACGGCCTCTATCAGAGTTCAACATTAACATTACAGTCAGACTGCTGAACTAGCTTTGGCCTCAGCACCAATCAGACACCTTTTAAAAGGAAATTTTATAGATTTACCATGAGATGGGTATTTCCCCTAAACTTTCTTCTAAAATCTGATGCAGACGCAGCGTCATGTCATCTATTCATAGAAGCCTGGTCACAGCACCCCGAGGACAACTCCATTTATGTTATCAAAGGCAACACAGGCCATAAACCTGTCATGTCACATACAGTTTTACTGGCTCTTAATATAAGCTGTGTATCCCCTTGAGAAAGACTGAAGCTTAGTGAAGAATGTTCAGATTCCAACTCTACAGCTGGAGGGAGAGAGATCCTATGATAAAATCATGCCAATGCAAATACAATGCAACTATGTCTGCAGACCAACGCACTGCACATCTGAGAGTCTCGTCTGCATTGTTGTGTAAGCCATCCTCGATTGCTCCTCAGACTACATAACTAAACCAACTTGCACACATGTGCTCAAACACCTTCACAGCCTTTCTGTTAGCTTACATACGACATTACGTAACGGAGCATGGCAGCTGAAGCGCTGACGTCTGAAGGTAAAGGCCAAGTTGTGGCCAGTCTGCCGCTGGTCTTGCTGATCAGTGAAGGTTTCGTTCAATCAGCCGGAGACTAGCCACGGCTCATTTTAAGCATTAGAGCAGATTAAAATACATGATGGTTCCACACGCATCCACTGAAGCCGAGTTATTGCCGTGGCTGGTTTAGTTTGATGTTTTATAGCCATAACATTTGTAAACAAGACCAAGGGCTCTATTTTAACAGTCCAAAGCACATGGACTGAAGTGCATGGCTCAAATGCATTAAGGGCATATCACTTTTGCCATTTTAACAGCGGAAAAAACAGTCGCTGCGCCAGGCACATGGTCCATCTCACACAGTCTGGGCAGACATGGCCACTAAGTTACTCTATGAAGCAATTTTAAGCATTACTGTATCAATGTCACAATAATAAATGAGAATTAATCAATCAAATCATAGCAGAGATGTTTCTTTATACTGGTGTTTTTCGCTTCCCATGACACACACATTTATCACCCTCCCAGCCACCTCCTCAGCTCCTTCAGCCAAAAAGGTTTTTTCTCCTTTGCCGACGATGATAAACATGATGGAATGTTGGAAGTGATTTTTCCATGTGCCTTTTACTCCGTCCAGCATGAGCTTTATCACTGTTCCTGCTGGAAGAATACTACCAGCTTCCTGTTTTTGTGCCATTAAGCAGTCTTGAAGAATTTCCTGCCTACTCCAACCTGATGACATGCCATGAAAAATGCAGTAAAGAAGAAGCAAACTGCTGCCAGAGCCCTGAGCTGTAATCTGTTTGAAAAATTAAACCAGTAATGAGTCATTGATGTCAGATACAAAGCATATGCAAAGCAGCTCTAAGAAAACTGCACACAGAAACTGCTGTTAAAACTGTCAAAATACACCAATAAACACAAAATACTAATGTATATCTTTATTATAACAAGTGCTGACAGTCTTTAGACACACAAGGCAGCTGTTAAATGAAGAAAACTGGACAAAACAAAGATGCTCTGGGAAAGAGAAATGAGGCAACGTGTCGTCAGCTCTCACAGAACAAACACTCACAAAGCTCCTTTGTACAAACTGCAAACTCGCTCTCTGACTCCAGACCTTGTGAGATGATGTCAACGAAATGCAAAAATAATGCTTTGCCTTATCACATGTGCATGCGTGCGTGTGAACTGAATAATGCCACCTGTGTGTATTATCGGTATGTGCTTCAATATGGGTGTGTGTGAGTGTGAGTGTGAGTGTGTGTGGATGTGAAGAGAGCAAGAGGGTGAGTGAGCATCTAAAATAACTTTTATTGTTCAGGGTGGGCATCCTGAAAACATCTTTGAGAAGGATGGAACATTCCTGGGACAGGAGGCTCTACCGGGGAAGGAAGGGCAAGGCTATGACACACACACACACACACACTCACACACTCACACACTCACACACACACACACACACACACAGTGACGCTAAAGGCCCAGGGTTGAAGCGTGTGAACCGGAAATGGGCGCCTGTCTTGCCAGAGTCGGCAGACGGATTTAAAAGGTTCAGAGAGATCCGACCTGCAGACGTTCCCAGCCGTATTCCCAGCTCTGATACGGAAGTCTGCACTCTGTCTGCAGCATCCTGGAGACATTGCTCTCCTCCTTCCACAGCAAAACATGTCTGTCACTCTCATGCGTGTGTGTACATGTGATTGATAATGATGCCTTCCAGAATAACACACACACACACACTCACACACACACACACACGCAGTCAGATAACCCAGGGTGAGCTGTTGTGTAATGGAAGGAAAGGCTGTGCGCAGCCAAAGTCAACACAACGCTGCTCTGTCCTGAACATAACAGGCCAGTCAGCTGGTTTCAGAGCGCACACACACACACACACACACACACACACACACACACACACACACACACACACACACACACAGCCACTCCCTCGCTTGTGATAGTGGTCAAGTAAAGGACAACAAATGTGAGGAGGAGTCCAAACCCCATCTAAACCATAGTGGTATTGACCAGTAAAAACTTAAAAACTGGAAAAAAAAATGTAAAACGACACTACAACAAGCCATGTGTTTTCATTTTCTCACTGTATGCTGCAACATGTGATGTCACGTCCATGTAATAATTTAACTTAAATACGCTAGAAAATTAAAGTTAGTTTTTTCCTTATTATAGCATTGGAAGGCAGCAACTCAGTGAGGAACCTTCCAACATTTTAGCACTCAGTGTGTGTGTGTGTGTGTGTGTGTGTTAGTGCCAGTGAGGTAGTGTAAGCACACTTACATGGTTGTCAGAGGTCTGTATGGGGCTGAGAACGGGGGAGCCTGCTGGGCTGCAGAGCTCAGGGAAAGGGTTGGGGATGGCCGGCAGGGAGGCAGGACGCAGCTGCTGCTCTTCCTGCAGGCACCTGCAGAGGGAGACACACACACTTCTGTCACTGTGCTGGCTGACCAGTGAAAGACTGACAATAATGGTGTGACACATGAGTATGGGAAGACACAGCCCACATCTTATAGTGGAGTATGAAGTTTATCACAAGAGCTTTGGCTTAAAGAAATGAGACAGACAAAACTGTATCTTGTAAAGCTTGTAGTGAGTCAATACTTTATTGTAACATGTTTTAAATCATAACTTAATTTTGCTCCAGCAACTATGTAAATCAATGTAAGTCATTCACACAGACTAGTAGAAGAAACTAAAGGTTAAAATTGTTTTGGTGCCAAGTGACTGTAGATAATGACTTTTAAAAGTAACATGGTGATTTAGGAAATTGATTATCTGTAACATCACAAGCCCAAAACAAAAAACAAAAAAAAGCTCTATAATTATACATTTCTAATGAATCTGACTTTCCCAACTGGATTTAAAACGAAGACCTGTAGTTCAATCATTATGTGCAATCGATGCCCCATCTTATACTGTATGAAAATAAAAACTGGGGAGGGAAAGGCTGACAAGAAGAGAGTAGAGGACTAACAGAAGTGTTCTTCCTCAGGCCGAACTGTCTCTTCTTTCATACATATTTTCATTTCTGTAAGCACAGTGCTTCCAGCTGTCTTTATCTTAAACCAAAAACAGTGAGATCAACACAGAGGGCAGGTTGTGTGTGTGTGTGTGTGTGTGTGTGTGTGTGTGTGTGTGTGTCTACCTGACGGCCTGGATGTGCATGGGCTGAGAGTGTCGCAGCCTCTCCCTGGAGGGAGAAGAAGTGGTGGGCAGGGGCGGGGTGTGACGACGGTGGCCCTGGCCGTGTCCCGGGTAGGCAGCGTGCACATGCACCTGGTGGTGGTTGTGAGGACTGTGCATGTGGCCATTGTTCAAGAGTAGCGCCGTGTCTGCCTGTGTAGAGTACACGCTCTCCATGGAGGAGTTCATCTCATTCACCAACTGCTCCAGGTCCACATCATCGTCTGTGGAGGCAGGTGGAGGGTGGGATGGGAGAGGTGGAGAAGGGTGGAAGGAGTGAGTGAATCACAGCAAATATCCACTAGGTGTCGCCTCGGTAGGTAACAGTGTGAGAGATTATTTTAAAACCATCTACACCCAGATGATAGTCATTAAAAATCAGCCGTCATGGACTATAACTCTACTTTCAAATGAGATTAAATTTAAGTGAATCAGCCTAGTTTAACTGCAGAAGCCACATGTAATGATGAATAACACAGAGCTACAGAAGAACCAGAATGATGTCACAATTATTCATGTTTTCTATCTGTGTTGATGTAAACGGCTAATTAAAAGTAAAACAAGACAATCATGGAGTCTGGTTATGAATATTCCTAAAGTGATGTGTCTTTTCTTTCCTTTTCTTCAGTTTGTCAGGAATGACTGTTAAAGAAATCCTGCAGGTGTGAAAAGTTAGATGTATGAGGGGGGTGGGGGGGGGGGCAGCAAACATCATGCTTCACTTTTCCTCACTACTTACTTTTCCTTCCTCGGCATTTTGACCTTTTGTCCCATTCCTACTGTACATACTCAGACTATGCCCCAGCCCTCTCACAGGCACCTTTAATTAGTCATAATTTCACATGGTAAACGAGACAAAATATTGCCAAAGGCACATTGTGGTCCTGAACCATCGAGCATGAGAACACAGAGAGAGAACACACAGTCTTGTTTTGAAGTTACACTCCTCCTCGTGTTGCATTTCACTTTGGCTTGGATTCCTTCCAGTGACTGTGTAGTACACTAACTCTCCGGCTTGCCATTGGTCAGATTATGTGAAACCTGTCATTCAAGGGGCTGACATGTCTATCAAGCACTGGAGGTTGGAACCAACAGTCACCCACAGACCAAACGACCAACAGAACCAAACCAGGGTGAAAGGGCCTCGAGAGCCGCTCTTGCAGGACGGTCAGTCGATGCTCGTCTTTTAACCTGAGCTGTTATTAATCAACTGAAGTCAGTCAGCTACCCTAAGTGCTTTGATGACTTGCTTTTCATTTGCCCGTTTTTGTTCTTCAATTCTAAATCGGTAGCACTTTATACTGAAAAATCAATTGCCCCTTGGCTTCGGGGGTGAAAAAAATAACATTGCCAGACTTACAGCAATTCATATTCAAAATCTAAACTTCTTAAAAAGTGTCCGAAATCGGGTGGAAATATCTCTAATAAAGCCAGTTTTATGTTAATTTGGTCTGTAAGATGTCCTCACAAGTGCAGTAGGTCTCCATGTGTTTCTGTATGTGTGTGTGTGTGTGTGTGTATATGTGTATATGTGTGTGTCCAAAGCCCTTTGGTCCTATGCGTCCCACCCCAACACCAACACCACACACAGAATTCCTGACATTCCTGTAGGAAGAAATTACAGCACTCGGGGAACATTCACCAGGCTGTTCATGGCACATGGTGACCAAATGATCAGGACAAAGTAGGGCACCAAAACACAAACACACACACACACACACACATGCACATACACACACACACATACACACACCCACAGGAGCCTAGGACACCATGTATGCTATGCAGTGCTGATGAGCATCTAATTATACAGGAGAATTAAAATAAAGAGTACTGCATGGGTACAGCATGTACACACACGCACACACGCACACACACAAACACACAAACACACACACGCACACGCACACACACAGAGACCACCAAGCTTAAAAGAAGCCTCTGTACCAAAAACAGCCGGACCGATGTCAGATCACAAAGAGGTATACATGAACCACATACACACACACACACACGCACACACACACACACACACACACACACACACACACACACACACACGCACACACACACGCACACACACACACACACACACACACACACACACACAGAGGACAGAGAGTCAGTCATGTGATGCAGGGGTTCATGAGTGGGACATAGGTTGGGGTACATGGGGGAGGCAGTTGGAAAAGAACAAGAGAGCACATGAGGACAGTCAGAAATGGTTATTATATAACGCTGCAATATACTGTAAGCCTTTTCCACAGCAGGCATTTTGACTTGTTAGAGTAGGAGAAGCACAGGAGTAATTAATAACGTTAACGAACGCTCTGTTCTTTTCCAGCGTCGCAGTAAGTCACAACACTGTGGTGAGCCAGCATGATCAATACAGATGCACTTTATTATTTACCCCTGTGCTTTTCCACACAGTAACATGCCAACATGTCTATGTCCTATTATTACACATTGATAGCCGCAGATGGAAGACAGATTTAACTTCTCAGAACTTCAATATCAAGACATCTTGATGAAACATTATGTGACATTTATGAAAAATAAAATGGCCTTTTCTCAGATTTGGGCTTAAAACTTAAACTTTCAGTTCCAGAAATGATAAAAAAGCTGTTTGGAACAGTAAACTAGAATTAACGCCTCGTGGTCGCATGTCTCTGCCAACCAGCGTTGACTAATGGCCAGAAAAGTGTTTTTGCAGAACATTATGATGTCAAAGTGAAGTTGACCTTTGACCTTTTGGATGGACAGACTACCCAAAAACATTATGCCTCCGGCCACGCCTGTCGCCAGCGCAGAGGCATAAAAACTGATTCATAGGAGTGTACTGAAAGTCTGTAAGTGCTTTATAGCCATGCTAGCTGCATGGCTGTAGGGATAGTGACGTCCGTCTGTCTGTCCGTCCGTCCACCACTTTGCTCCAGGCTGAAATATCAACAACTGCTCGCTGGACTGCTATTACATTTTATACAGACATTCATGGTCCCCAGAAGATGAGTCCTAATGACTTCGATGATCCCCTCATTCTTCTGCTAGTGCCAACACAAGTTCATATTTGCGGCTTTGAGTAAATGTCTCGCTGACCCTTTCATCTATCTAGTTTTCCTTCATTCAGCACCAACATCAGGTCAGAATTTCAGTTTGTCCATTACTTTGGTTTACAACCAAATATCTGCAAAACTAATGACATGTCCTTAACTGTACTTTGTGCTTTTCTGTTCAGTTTCTAGTCTTTATGCTAAGCTAAGCTAACTGGCTGCTGGCTGAAAATGCCAGTGAGTGAATAAGATGTTGAACTATTCCTTATACTTAAAGAATAAAATTTAAAATCACAATGCTTGGCCATGCAACATTAGTTTGTAAAGATTAAAAAACCAGTGGACATTTTTGTTTTGGGGGTAGCTGCATGTTCACTTTGGGATGGCAATAGCTCCAGTTCAAGATGGCTCTGTGGGAGTTACATGAAAATAACTATAATCTCTGAGTGCAAAGGAGGTAGTTGGTTCACTCATCATTGGTAAGTTTAGCTTTTCTCTGGACAAATCTGCAATTCGTCACTGTCTTTGCAAAGAGGAGTACACTTACACTTACAAACAATATTTCATGTGCACAAATGGGAAGATCCATATCATCTTAATTGCTGGAAATTTGAAGGTTTTCTCTCCACTTTGTGATTTAGGCTGATAAGAGTTTTCCTCTCCCTCCTGCGGTTGCTGGCTCATGCCCACACTGCACTGCTGGCTTCACTCAAGTTAATCAGAGCACATATAGCATGAAAATGTCTTCCCCTCCCTCTCCTCTACTAACTTTAAATGTAAAAGAACTGCTGCAGCAGTCTGGCTCACATCTGACGACAAAACCTACCATACAACCGTGGCCAATTCATTCCTGTAAGATCCCAGAATATACTGAATGAGTGCTCTCTGTCCCTGGCCACGAAAACCTGCAATCATCGATCTCTGACGGCAGTCTAGAGGTCAGACAACAGAGCCGGACGTTTAAAGGGCAAAGTGCAAGTGAGTTCTTTTACAGGCAATAAAAATATACACTCCATTTAGCATAAAAATAATAAAAACTTTTGATACATTTTGCACAAGTACTCAAAACATATACCGTATGTATACTGTATACTGTACTAGAGTTTTTGTTGTTGCCCTTTCTGTTTTCTCATTGTGATGTCAGTGTATTCACAATTGCATTGTGGGAAGCTTGTTTTTACTATGGACAATAAAGTTAAAGGGAAACTAGTGAGGTCTTGGATTTCAGTCTCCAAACATGAGGTGTAAATGTGGGCGGACAGAGTGAATACGTTTTCTCTTTACAATCACAACTGTGATGCAAGTTACTTTAAAGCCTCCAGCTATCAGTGATAACCAGCAGGCTGTTACACTGAGCAGCTAACTCTACTGAACCGAAGCAGGGCAATGCTAGGGGAGGAAACACAAATCAAATAAGAGGCTTCATAATAAAGATTATGATCAAAACATTAAATCAGGTACAGTATAATTGCTGGCTTGAACGCAGGCGACACCATAGTACGTAAGAAGACACGTCATCAGATCATCAAAAAGACATTCCTAGCATAAATGAAGGGCAGGTAACCTGAACCTGAACGCATCCATCAGTGTGGCTGATGTGATCTTTCTCTGTAGTGCAAAGTCAGAATGAGACAATAGCAGGGTGACTCTGCCTCTTGCTTTTTTCACTAATGTCATCAATCAGTTTTCTTTTTTCCCTACAACATACCTTCAGGAAAACTTATATGACGGTCTTCTCCTATAATCTTCTTCTTGCATGCTTACCTGACACTGCATGTTGATTTATGTGAAGAACATAGCTTAGTTAAATATTTGGACAACTGTACACAAACCCACAGTACATTGACATATGCAATAAAAGACATTTTTAAAAGCAGTGTGTCCACTGTATGACGTTATGATAATACCCTCAGCTACCCTTATGCTGCTCGTATCATCAACTTGTGGTTTAATTCAGTGCAGTCTATGGGTTATTTATGATTACGGATTGTAATTTACTTTTCCTCTTCCCCTCAACCTGACTCATCAACTTCTACTTCAGTTAGTGCTTTTCCATTTCCCACAGTTACGTTCGCAACTACCACAAAGTGGATATGAAATTGCTGCAATCACTTTATTTTTATGAGTAGGTAAAGAAAGAAAGTCGTATCAGTGCACAAGTTTTTTCCACTTGAGAAGAAGCAGGTCACAGCATTGCATTCTGGTACATTGAGGCTACTGACAGTGGAAAATTCACTCTGAAAAAAAAAAATATATATATATGACTGTCAGCTCTAGAAGGAAAACCTTCTTTCTTCATTTTGATGGACTTACCAATCAAATCTGATAATTATTATTGAGGTTTTACAGCAGCAGTAGCACCTGAAATACCTCAACTTGATGCCTCGTTGCCTCAGCTTCACTAGTTATCTATAGGAACAAGGCAACACTGTGCACCACCAAACAAACTGGACCTAGAAACTACAAACTGGAATTCAAATATACACCTTCTCTTATATACTCCTAGATTGTCACTGCCTGTCTTCAAGTTTGAACCCACATACCTATAACTATCCCCACCCCTGCCCCACAGAACTATGACCTACTTTCTATAAACTCCCCTCTCCCCAGCACTGGGTGACCTACAAGCCTATATAAACACCACATCCATACATCCCTTCATCCCATTCATGTGAAGCCGTATTTACAAAACTCCCACACGAGCATGAGCACCACACGTCAACAGGGCAGACAATCCACTAAACGACCAACTCAAGGGAGAAAAAAAAGAAAAAAAAGAAGAGGTTGAGGAGGGAGAATTTACAACCTCTCCTCTCCTCAGGTTGGCCACTTTCCAAAAGGATTCCCAAGATTTTCCACGATGGCTGAAGGGATATCTGGGAATATATTGGAAGCAGGCTAATGCATGTGTGTGTGTATGGGGAGGGGGGGAGGGGTGGTGCAGGAAAGTGCTGAGCACTGCTAAAAAAAAAAAAAAAAAAGGGGGGAAAAAAACTTCAGCACTTGTCTATATCCTCTCCATCTGGAGAGCAGAGCCTGCAGTGATGGAGGGAGACAATGTCCTAGATGTAGATGGAGATAAAGGGGGGGGGGGCAAGGAAAACAGGAGGAGCTTTTAGTGGGCCAGCAAATAGACAAATAGATTTTGGCTGTGGAGAAATCCCAGGAAGAAAACAGTGAAAAGGGGAGAAGTATAAAATATGGACAGAATTGTTGTGTCATCCATTTTAAGATTAGAGGAAGAGATTGAGATGTTCCTTCTTTTCATATTTAGGAAGAGGAGAGGAGAGGAGAGTTACCATGGTGATGTGGCAAATTTTGATTGGCTGAACGCTGAAAGCCTGGAACAATCAGCTCCTCAGGCCGGCGAGAGGAAGTGCGGTCCATGCTTTCCTGTGAAAAAACAAAACAAAAAAAAGACTGTGGTAAAAAACATACAGTGGGTATAAAATTTCAGATATTTTGGTGAAGGGTAAGACAACGTGTCATTTTCACAGAGTTCAGAGGGTCAGACAAAGGGTGGGTTCATGCTTCCACTCTCGAGGAACATCCGGCTTCAAGCTTAAGAGACCAGTGACCCTTTGACCCTGTGGCACTGTGACTCTGTGACCCCCTGACCTTTCCCTTTCTCCTTCTCATACTCACACATTTTTACACATATTCAGTGTTGCAAACGCTCACATGTGAAACTCCTCTCAGGTGCTCATTCGTGCATTCAAAGAAAAAAAACAAGAAAAAAACAAAAACATATAAATCAGTTTTAGAGCAAAAACATACCAGCTCCGGCACACTTATACAATCTCACACGTCTGGAGATGCACGCACGCTGCCAAGTTCCTCACATATTGTCTAATTTGAAGCAGCCTAGAGGCAAGGGAGGGAAAAAAAAGCCAAACAAATTTTCAATCTTCCCTTTTCCAGGAAAAAGAAGAACGCGGAAGCATTGTTTCCAGGAACTGCTCGTGGCCAGAGGTCCTGTTGTGCATGTATGCACATACACACACACTCACAGCTCCCCTCGGTGCTTCGAAAACATCCATAAATGCCCAGAGTAAGATTTATAGCTCTAAGAAGCAGCAGCCAAAAGCTTTCTAAGGAAGGCAACTTGGCTGCAGGGCCTGTGGGCTGACAGAGAAAGTCTGCAGGCTTCAGCTAGAGCTGACTAGCTGACACACAACAACTTACCTACTAAACTGTCTGTCATATACAGTATACCTTGCTCATAATGTGACAGACATGCAAGCCAGCATGCAAACAACAGTGAGCATTACTGCAAATTTACAAAAAGTGGACTCCTGCTCACACAGATGAGACGATCTCACATTAAAAACCTCTTAAACTCTGCAGGGTCCACTGGTATTTTCATTTGTACAAACTGAGGTTGCATGGCCAATCACTGTTCAAGCCCACAAAACATTATTTTAAATTCTACTGAAGATCCTCAGAGGAATAGTTCGACATCTTGGGAAATACTTTTCAGCCACTTGCCAGTTAGCTTAGCATAGCATAAAGACTGAAAACAGGAGGAAATAGCTAGCCTGGCTCTGTCCAAAGGTTTAAAAAACGGCTACCAGCACCTTTAACCCTCACTTATTAAGATAGGTGGATTTTGTTACCGTTGCACAGAGACAGGCTAGGCTGCGGTCCTTGTGCTAAGCTAAGCTAAGCTAACCCGGCTGCTGGCTGGCTGGAACCTTATTTGACAGACATGAGATTGGTATAGATCCATTTTCTCAAGTGTCCAACTATTCCTTTAAGACACCAGATATGTCAGGCTTTATGAGAGGGAAATGTGTATACAATTATGCAAAGACATAACATTAAATGTAATATAAAGATCCAGCATCTTGACAACTCACTTAGGTGTAAGAATCAGGTGCATTGAAGAGTTGGGACGAGCACATGGAGAATATGTACGCGCTTGTTTTTCTAAATTTTAGGAAACAAAATCAAGAGTTTAAGAGGCAATCATTCAACACCTATCATTCTTCTTTCATCACAGTCAGCACAGGTTTGGGAAACAGTGTAATTGTGAACAGTGTGTAGAGTTGGAGGCAGTACGTGCCCTAGTTCTAGTAACAGACATCAGTAGCAGCAGTGCTAAATATATATATATCTACAAGTAAAACTCAGGCACAACCCCCCTCCCCTCTGCAGCACTCATGCAGTAAAAGAGTCAGCTTTAGCAGCTACATTCCCCATAAAAACCTCACCATGAACTCCCCATGATGCACTTTCTCTGACTCTGTAGTCTGAAGAGATAGTGCGCTGATGCTACCTCAGCGGTCGACCAGGAGGTTAAGTGACAAAAAAGCCAAATGTGAAAATCATGACTCCCTTTTCTTAAAAGTAGGTATTGATTTCTCAGTAAAAGTATTTTCCAGATGTGGATTGTTTTGCACGATGTGCCAATAGTTATAAACGGTGTACTTGATATTACTAGTCTTAAGGGTTTAAGTGGTACAGTACATGAAGAGAGGCTTTCTTCTTGTAGTTTTATGGCTGGTGAGTCAGTGCTCCAGTCTTGTGTTTTAGGTTTCACAAGAGCATCATTTGAACAATCTTGTTTATATAATCTTTTGGTGAATTTCTTTTTCTTCAATTTATTAGTTTTCATAAAGTTCATCATGGTCACAAAACCTTTTTAGTTTTATTAACTGGCATTTTTACAGGAAGGGTGGGAACTTTCTGCATGCAGGAGTGCAACCAGTGGTCAGAAACTGGCAACATTTATAAGTACTCTGATATCCGGTCTTGTGGGTCACTGTAAATTTAGTGTCCACAAAGTGGTCAGTACGGCACTGATGGAATCTGCTACACAGATTGTGTTTCTATGCCACAGGAAGAAAACATGGTCTGTATGTCTCCATGAGGTAGATAAAAATCTAATTCTTTTGTTGGCGTTGTAATGATAAGGTTCTGAAAGCCTTCAAAATAAATACATAAATAGGACAAGAGTGTCTAGACTTTGCTGATGTGGTATAACAAACACAAATGTATGGGTCTTCTGTATGCTAACATGTTTACATAGATATCTTAGTTTGGCATGTTAGCATGTTGCCATGTTAGCGTGCTAACATGCTAATAAGCACCAAAAACAATCAAGTACGGCTGAGACTCATGGGAATATCATTGGTATTGTATTTAGCCATGAACCCAAGTACTGGCAATCCGTCCAATAGTTGCTGGTGGCACAAAAAGGAAAGTTAGAGGATCACCAAAGTCAATAGGTATCATCCCCTTGGGACCGAATGTCTGGACAAAATGTCATGGTCATCAGTGTGGCCCAAAGTGGCGGACTGACTATGGCTTTGGCCATCCATAGATCCAGTTGCAGGTTGGGGAGAAACTGCTTTCAATGATGGTTAACAAAACTTGGGATGCTTTGTGTCTTTGGTTGAAAGCATTATTAAACACACTTTTAGGGTGGAATATTCTGGTGGACTGACTACAGTCTTTGCTAAAACCATCTTGGAGGGTTTCTGGCTTTGAACGATGTCGTTGCCTCCTGCTTGCTCTTTTCTCCTGGAGGACTGCTTGCTTTGATTCCCTGTCCTGCTGCAGTGTCACAGTGATTTCCAGGATACATCTGCTCTAGAAACAAGTGTGAAAAATTGAAGAGTCGTCTCTTAACGTTTCCTTCAGTTTTAGTGAGTAACTTCTCGTCACGGATTTCTGAGTCTTAAAGTTACATGACCAATGTCACGGTTGTTGGATTCAGCAGAAGTTGAGGAAGAAATCTTAGGCCTGGTGTTTCGATTAGCTTGACATATTGAGGTTGCTCTTGTCCATGGAAAGACATTCCATAACTACTCTTTTGACATGTCTTTAATTATGAACAAGCCTCTCCACCCTATAGCCCACAGCATTAACACGCATTTCAACATACTTTCTTCTCTTGAGCATCAAAGCCTATGCTTCCTCGAAAGCACAAGCAGAGGCTCATCGCTGTGACAACTGCTGAGTAGAGCCGCTGACCTCTGACCTCTGAGAACAGAAATAAAGAACTGCAGTTTACGTTCTAAGACAGAACAGACACGTTCAGGACTGTTGGCACAAATGCTGACGTTCAGGGGCGAGGATCTGTTAAACACTTCATTCTTTCCGCTCTTCTGACCGGTTAAGGTCGTAACTCAGCTGAGCTCCGAGTCTGTGGACTGTGGTTTCTTGGTGCTCTGCAGCGTACGCGCATGCACATTGACAAACGCGCACACACAAGGAAAGGAGAGAAGGAAAGCGAGAGTTGCTGGCTGCTTCCTCTGAGACATCACTGGCACAGATCCAAAGTTAGACAGTTAGACAGACGCGCGCCCATGCACACACGCACACGCACACACACACACACACACACACACACACACACACACACACACACACACACACTTCGGAGACAGGCCTGGAATGCTGCCCAGATTCCCAAACATGCCCGCCGTTATGTATAGCGTTATGTAAGTATGCAGAAAAGAGGGCTCATTTGCTCCTTATCTATATACACTAAACCTAGAGTCGCTGCCTACAGAGAGAGACTCCATGGGGTATACAGTAAGTGTGTGTGTGTGTGTGTGTGTGCCATGCTGTGTCATATCAACTGGCAAGCTTTACATAACAAACACACACACACACACACACACACACACACACACACACACAGCAATGTTGTAACCCACTTCTCTCCCTCTAACCAGCAAACTCTGTTTTTTCTCTGCTAGATGCAGGGTGGAGGAATGTTGTTTTCTATGGGGATTCAATTCACTATTCACTGCAGTCTTACTGGTGCAAAACCCTTTCCTGGAAGCTAACGTGAACCAATCCAACTTAATGTCAGCTCAACAGGGGCTCAGCGGTCCCACGGTTTGGGTTAGCGGGGAGCTGCATTTTTGTACCTCCACTAAGAGGAATAAGGCAGCTGAGGCTACGTCACCTCCATCGTCCCATCAGTCCCAGTAAGACGTCACACCATGAATCCCATGCTTTCAGGCCTGTCACAAAACAAAGCCCACAGCTTGTTATTGTTGTTTGTTTAGCACTCTATTTATAGACCTCCACGATGCTCTTTAGCCAAATTCTTTAGGTTACTGGAGGGTTGGAGAGGAGAAAATCCGAGCCGAGAAACAAAGGGCTCATTCTGCAGGAGCTGGACAGTGGAAGTGGGTCTGTTGTGTTGCAGAGACGCCATATTTCACCTAACTAGGCTGAGAGTCACTCACTGTGAAGCAAGTGGACTCACAAAGCCAGTGTACACATGTTGATACAGAGAGAGAGAGAGAGAGACAGAGAGAGAGAGAGAGGTTTGACTATACTTGTGAGGACTCAAACTCCAGTCTTTCAGGTTGTTATAGGCAAATGAGAAAGTCGGGGAAGGTCTCACTTTTTAGGTTACAATACAATCTGTTCACACGTTAGTAATAAAAAGTGATGAACACTAAAAAATTGCTTCACGTTCTTTCCCTGCCATGACGAGTCAAAATATCCTGGTTGAAAAATATCTATTAATCCTGCATGAGCTTTTCTGTTTCATGACAACTAAACTGTAGTGTGACATTACTTTGACATGTTCTTATCCGTATATATGCTATCATCCGCCGCTGATAAGCACACATACAAGACACAAAAAAATGTACCTGGTAGTTTGGGTGATGTAAGAAGTAGTCAGGGCATCCTGCTAAGGCCATGGTGTTCCTTCAGTGTTCCCTCTGTAGGGAATGACACCCGCTGGTCTCACCAGCTCCCTGGATGTGAAGGGAGGATACAGCACAGAAAGCAGGCTAAATGAAAAAGAAGGAAGAAAACATCTATCACTAAACTGACAAAGAGCAGAGAAAAAAAAAAAACATATTCGCAAAGTGAACTTGATGATGAAGAAAAAAGTCATCAGAGAACTTACAAAAACGGAGTGAATTCACCAAAGAGACTTAACATCCCAGGTGAGTATTGTTATCTGTGCTAAACACAACTTTGTAAAAATGCTATCTATTTGGTATGCTAAAGAAAAAAGACAAAAAAAACCCTGAACTCAACACTCAACAAAGCCTGCATGTGTGAATGAATGTGCATGCAAGGATGAATGTGTGCACACCGAATCCAATGTAAACACAGCCATTGTGTACAACACACACACACACACACACACACACACACACACACACACACACACACACACACACACACACACACACAAGTCAGTTCCCAAACAAAGCCTGGGGCTTAAGACTAAATAAGAAACCCTCTCCAAGCTAGCAACACATGACCACTCTCCACCTGCAGACTGATGGGGGAGGCAAAGTGGGAGAGAGAGGGAGAGAGGGAGGGGGACAGCCTTTCTGAAGGAACTTGAAATAGGAGTCGGCTATTTCCACTGCATTGTGCAGCAATATCTACCGTGAGTAAGCAGGGGGAAGTTGTGCATATGTGTGTGTTGTGGAAAGAGGATACACACACTGCAATTGTGTTCAGCATTGAGTTGCATGTTGCTTGGAGCATAGAAACTACTGGATGACTGTGTAAGTCAGTTTATTTTCCTGCATTATTGAATAAAGGGACATTATTCGGTGCAAGTTCTTGTCTACAGTGTTAAAAAAACAATTCTCCAATATGCAGCTACACCCCAAAACTCATTCCAACCACTTAAATATGAAGATAAATGGGTTCCTTGGCCCTGCATAATGTAATTTTTTTTTACTTTTATCTCCTTTTTGGCAAGTAAATCCGATCCGCGCCTGTTGGTGAAAATCCCAGATCACCATCAAAATCTAATAGACTGGTCCCTTTAAGAGCTCTGATGTGCCCACCCAATTTCATGGAAAGCTGTAATAACATTTTAGAGATGTCGAGCTCATAAACTGGACTTTTCTCTCAATTCAAGAAAAATAAGAAAAGTCCACAAAGCAAGAAATGATTTGTTAAGATGGATATTTCTGCAGCCCGCATACAAATTTCAGGGAACTGCTGCAACTGATACTGCTTCCAACAAAGGTTCGGCAAACTGAATCTACACACTCACACACACACACACACACACACACACACACACACACACACACACACACACACACACACACACTGAACTCTCCATCTCTCTCACTAAATAGCTCCTCTCACTCTTTGACTCTGCTGGTTTCTCTTCACTTTCTCTCCCAGCGTGTCTCCATTGTACAGGTCATTATATAACAGATATCAGATGGTTCAAACAATATCTCTTCCTCCTTCTCCTCCTCCTCCTCCTCCTCCTCCCTTCTCCTCCTCCTCCGCCTCCTCCTCTCTTCTCCTTCTCCCTCTCTTTTCACCCCACTAATTACTGTTTCCACTGGGGCTCTGCTATCTTTAGGTTGCTCTGCTGACTGAGAATGTGTGTCTAAATGTGTGTGTGTGTGTGTGTGTGTGTGTGTGTGTGTGTGTGTGTGCTCACACATTCACACACACACACTGAAAAGACAGCCTCTCCGCTGCTGATAATTGCACACTTTTTCTTTTTTTTTTCCCCCTACTGTGACCGGTTTCATATCTCACATGTTCTTGCATACACTTATGTGTGTGTTCACACCAATTAAAGTGCTGGCCAAAAGGGCAAGCGGGGCAGATCATATGTGCGACTAATAAGCCTGAAAGCAAAGCCAAATCTCCGAGTGCTTGACATTTGCTGACATTTGTGGTTCCTCCTGCAGAGGAAGAGAGTAATTCAGCTTTACTGGTCATACGGGGAGATCTAGAGAATTAAATGGGGCAGGGAGCAACTTAATAATGCCACTTGTGTGTGTGTGTGTGTGTGTGTGTGTGTGTGTGTGTGTGTGTGTATAATACACCCACTCCTACATCTTTCCAAGCACAAATGGACTCACATGCTGACATCAAGAGCAATTTTTTTCCCACATCTTGTTACTGAATTCACTTAGTGATGACTCTCTCATCTAGAGGAGAAAAAGTATACTATCCACCTGCACCTGTACCGTACACACAGAAGTATAAGTCTCCCATTCGCAGCCTCCTGTAGGTCTCAGTGATATCTGATCCTAAGCAGACCTGTAGTCTTCTTTTTATGCATCAGCATGGAAGGAAGAGAGAAGTTCTGCAGCGTGCAGAGATTAGCCTACATTAAGTTGCAGCTAATGGAACTTTATGACAGACCATCAAAACACACACACACACACACACACACACACACACACACACACACACTCAGCCAGCTTATCCTCTTTAATGCACTAGCTCCTTTATGTGCTGTAGGTTCAGATAACTCCCTTTCAAAGCTGGAATTAGTAGAAGAAACGGTTACAGTGAGGAGATGAAGGAGCCACTGCAGAGGTTTTTTGACACTGATGGAGCATGTAGACTGGCTGCTGTGTTAAGGAGTTATGTCATTTTCTTTTCTTTTTTTTTCTTTTTTTGTCTTCAGAGACTGAACCCCCCCCCCCCCCCCCCCCCCCATCACCAACACAATTTAAATGTGACAGCAGTGATGTAGCGTTAACAACAACTTTGTGCTCCAGCTGGTGATCTTCATAACGTAAACAATAACATTATTTCTTCCAGAGAGATGCGAGCTCTGTATCCTTACAAAGACAATGAGATGTGTTACCTGCGGTAGTCTGACAGCATTAAGGATGGTTGCAGTGAATTTGTATCTCATGCCACAGCTAAAGATGTCTCATTGCAGCCAATAAAAAAAAAATTATTAAACTAACTATTCACTCTTTTGCATCCCTGTGCATGAGAAATAATCTTCTATAGGAAGAATGGTTGATACTGAGTTAAACACTGTGCGTTCCGACTGACAGACAGTAGTTTCCAAACAAATAACCAAAGTGCTTACGGCAATGAAAGGGCAGGACGCGGCTCAGGAATCGTGTCCAGGACGCACGACGGAGCAGCACCCGGCGAGCTTCGACTGTCCTCGTCTGGACCTCCACACAAGCTACCGCGCAGCTTCCCCCCCCCACCCACCCCCCCCAAAAAAAAAAAAAAACTCCGTCCGCGGCTGTTCTGTTGTCTTCACCTTGTCCCCCCGCGAAGTGCTTTCCTTGCACACGTACACACACATTTAAACGCACACTCACGCTTGCACACGTCCAAACACACGCACACATGCACTGCTCTCACCCTGCACTTTCCGACCAGCTGACTCCTCTCGCTCCCTCTCCACACACGCTCTCTCTCTCTCTCTCTCTCTCTCTCACACACACACACACACACACACACACACATACACACACACTCTCTCTCTCTCTCTCACTCACTCCCTCTGAAGGAAACGTCCTCTCTCCGCCCTGTTCACAACAGCACACTGCAAAAAAAATTAACCCTATCTTCTTCTTTTTCTTTTTTTTTTACAAGCTGGAGGTCAGTAAACAAATCCAATATTTTATCTAAACAAGTGAGAAAAAAAAACCCAATTTATCCACGAGGAGTTCTCACAAGCTTTCACGAGTTGTTGCTGTCATTTCACTTTAAAATAATTTTCTCTTTTTCAAAGCTCAAAATAACTGTGAGTGTTGACATTATTTGCAGTGTGTTCAAGACCTGACTTTTAACCATTCAAGTAGAAGGAGGCCTCCTCTCTGTGAACAAAAGTGGCTCAGTCATTAGTGTCAAACCATCCATCTGGTGTCACTGCTGTACGTTTATGGTATGTACCTGCTCTGTAGCTTGCAGCATATGTCCCTCACGTCAAATCTTATCTCACATTTACACCAGCAGACAAAAAAAAACAGCATCTAAAGCCCCTGTAGGCATATTATAGCAATACCATAGAAGTTTAAAATAACAAAACATAACAAGGTTACTAACTCACTACTGAGTGTCTTAAAACACACATTAAAGGAGCTACCTGTAAGCTGCAGCTATTGCTAAATAGCCACTGTTAGCATTAGCAGCTGTTAACTTACCAGGCTAGAAGAAGCTTAGCCCTTATACCCGGTTGACCCGCATGGCTTTCCGATACCGAGTCACTGTCAAGTCTGTTCTGAATTGGTAGAGCTGCTCACACGGCGTGTCCTTGTATTGTTAATGCAACAGTGAACTGAAGCTGTTCGCAAGACTGATGTTAATGCTAACGCAGGCTATACAGTATTGTAGTGCAGCATGAACAGATAGCCTACAACAACAGATTCATTTGTTATTAATATTTTGGATTTTTTAAAAGCATTTTTTGTTAAGACCGAACTGCTTCATAGAGTAAACACAAAATAACTTACTCAATTATTTATTCATTTATTGGCCTAAAAATAGTATCCTAAGTATAAAAAGAAATCAGCCAGGTTGATAGCGTTAAGCCAGCAACATGCCTCTATGATTCACAACTAAACTCCATTCAGACCTTTAATGGTCCCCAGAGGCTGAATTCTATTGGCTTTGGTGATTGCCTGACTTTACGTCCAACACCACTATGATTTTGCCATTTGGGGATTTGACTGAAATATCTCAACAAAGATTACTGTGACATTTGGTGAAGACATTCCTGTTCCCCACAAGACGAAATGTAAAAACTTTTATGATCTATTAACTTCTTATAGCGCCACCATCAAAATATCATTTTGTTCAATACTTTGGTTTATGACCAAATAACAGAAAACTAATGGCATTTGCACAGCCTCTTTGTGATTAGAGCTGATGCGTAAGCTAACCTTTGCTAAGATTTGTGTTAGCATGCTAACACTCTAAGCTAAATACAGCAAATGGCTGTAGTCCCTTTAGTCTTGTTAATTGACAGTGTTTCAGTGGTAGCTACGGCCCTGGTTATAACCCCATATAAAAGAATATTACAGGGTATTTGTCCTCACATAAGCAGAATAAATTATAGCCACACACTGGAGATTCATTTTACTTTGCGGCACATGGTATTGTCATTATAATGACTTCTCCAGTTTGAATTTAAATGTCATCAATGTTTGGCCTAGATAGCTGAACATTATACCATACCTCGAAGCACTGAACATGGAAAACGTTATAGCAGTGGTAGCTACAATTTCACAGCTCCCATTAACACTATGTACACATTCTGGTTCTAATGCAGTTTAACCTCTTTTACAGGCCATACATTGTTTGTTCTGTTAGATAATCTTTGATGCCTCCTCCACTTTCAACCATCCATCAGCCAGCAGCCATTCACAAACTCAGGTTTCACCCACTCACAGGTTAACTAAACCCTCCTCCTTATCTGCTTTCAGACCGGCAGTATGTGGACACATGTTGGGGTTGACAGCAGATAAGGAGGAGGCTTGGAGAAGTGGATCCAGAAAGGTGAGAGGATACTTTATTTGAACCTAGCTATTCATATAACAGCTTATTTCAAGGTTGAGATGTATATGGACTCCTAAGGTGGCACCTCCTCTGCCACACAGACAACCCATGGACAGCCCAGATGGAGCAGAATCTTACCAACTGCTTCACACTCGCTCCTGGCGGACGTCCTCCTGCCTCTGACAGCCGGTATATACACATGTGTCAGCCTGCCAAAAATTAAACATGAGCCTGCACAGACATGAGCCTAAGGCCACATTTATGTGAGGCCTCATCAATTTTTCAGATAAAAGGTTGCTCTTTAAATAGGCCAAAGGTACAGGCTATTTCCAGGATCAGCGCTCCACATCAGGCTTTGTTTACAAAGCCAACACCAGGAGGTACACTGGAAAAACATACATCAAACCACCTCACCATCACATGGGAGCGCTTATACTCAGTTACAGAACTTGGCAGAACTTCTCTGACATCTGCAGCAATTCTGTTGCATTTGAACTCATTGTATCATTGTATCAGCCGGCAATTACATCTGATTGAACATTTAAAGCAGTGTGCGATGGTCTTTGTAGATTAGATATGTGCTTGCAGTAGCCTGGTATTTGCAGCAGCTGGAGCAGAGAGTATCTTCACTCACAGGAGCAAATGGGAGGCAACGAGATCTGCAACCTAAACCCAGTCCAGTGAAGTAGAAAGAACTGGCGATGCAAATGCACTTAACGTTAAAAATAGGGTTTTGAGATCTCAAAGACCTATACTCTTCTGTGCAGTGTATTGCTCCATATTTTTGTAAGACAGTGATTTCCCGGAACATATTGAACACATGGAGGAACAGCAAAAAAATAGATTGTAAAGTGGAATTTCTATGGACGTTTTTGATGCACTGGATTTTCTAGCCACTGGTCCACATTTGTTGACCACAAGCAGCCACTGTTTGTGTGAGATACAGTTAGCAGGTATAGTTAATCAAGGCAACAGCCATTTTTATTTAGTTGCCTGTCAATGACATCATATCCCCTTTGAACATGCGTCAGCGTTGTGGTTGTCTGACAGAAGTGGTCAAAATGGACTTTTTCTCCGGTTTTAAGCCACATTTTATGATACACTTCTTAAATCTTAATTGTTTTCACCATATATTTTAACCAGATGAAGGATTTTAGTCATTGGACGTCTGAATATCAAGTTATCAGAAGAACTAGCTGAGCAAACACTAGCTGCAGCTCGGCTCACAGCCTAAAACGTGTCAGTAATATGAAACAACCCATGAAATATCCAAGTCATGGTCCCTTCATTCAGCATTTTTAAACATGCAATGTTGGTTTGGAAGAAAGTGAAATTGTGCAACTTGTAAAAAGAAAAAGAACACTGACAAGGTTCTGTTAGAGTAGATTTTATGAATATCTGAGGTCTGTATGAATGCTCAGCTTGGAATAATGTTGATGGATTTCAGCACCAAACCCTGTGCGCTGTTAAAGATTAGAGCACATTAAAAGATGAGACCCTCCACCACTTCAAAGCACAGTGACTTTCTAGGAAAGCTAACAAACTTTAATGGCTGAGGTCTGGCTTGGTCTGATGACCGGCTAGTCCCACTGCTCTGTTTGTTTGCATTCATAGGTAAAGTGTAATAGAGTTACGCAATCGGCAACAGAAACAGCTTGATGCTTCCCACTGAAATGGATCGGTCACACAAACACATGAACATGCGCTGTGTTTTGAAAACACAGGAGAAGCGTGGCTGTTACATAAAAATTCCACTGACCCTTGTTGGGAAATAGTTAGGCATCCCAGATGTGGTGGAATCTGAGTCTCTCGAGGCCTTGGGAGGTCAGCTCTCACACACACACACACACACACACACACACACACACACACACACACACACAGCACTACTCACACCACCACCATGGGCTAAATTGCCTCCAGTTGTAAATACAATGTACAGCATGCTCACATGTGATGCATAACAGGCCAAAGAGTAACACCAAAGCACTATCTTGCGTGTGTGTGTGTGTGTGCGTGTGTGCGTGTGTGTGTGTGTGTGTGTCTTGATGTGTGAGACAGTTAAAATGCCATAAAAGGATGGGTCAGAAAATTCAGTGTGTTGTGACCATTTCGAATAAAACCGAATCCACAAATATGGAACTGGGTCACCCTGACATTGTGTGTCCATGTGTGTGTTTGTAACTCCTCCACGGTACAATGTGTGTGCTTGTGGCATGTTTTGTAGGTGATTCACTGCGGTGCGTCTGTGTTTTGCGGGTGTGTCTTTGTGGACGAAGTGTCTGTGGTTGGGTGGTCTGCGAGCCGCTGTTGACAACCTACTGTTTTTTTATTGATGTTCACCTCTGAGCTGGAATGCTGCTACTTCTCCAAACATAATATCATACAGAAGTAAGGTCGGGTGTAGCGAGGGGGGAGAAGTGGCTGCCAGAGCAACGAACCAGCATGAAATAAGGTAGCAGGGATGATAGGTTCTTTTTTAGCCCTCTGAGGTCTGTCAGCCCACCTTGGTCCAGAATGAAATTATTGATGGATTGGATGGATGGATTTGGTAGTAATGTCCTTTACTCCTAGTGCCACCATGAGGGGGAAATTTCTGGTTTTGAGTGAAATGTTGCCACAACTACTGGACAGATTGTCATGAAATTCGAAACGTTGAAGTCAAGCGACAGTGGTGCA